GAAGATGACTCGGGAAAACGCAGTTATTTACCTGTTAACTGTATTTCCAGGAATCTTCTAGGACAGCGTAACTCCCTCCCGATTGCTGTGTGATTATGTACTAGGGTTTCGTCATGCTTGAAATCGTCATTGTGTCTCTACTATACCATTTTTATGCTTTCTCCTAGGCCTTCGGTCATATTCTTATACTGAGGGTCCCCTGGGAGAGAGGCTACTTATAGAGGAAAAAGGTGGAGCGGGTGTTTCCTGGGAGGAGCCTATCTCTCAAGTGAGCTGTCCTAGAAGATTCCTGGAAATACAGTTAACAGGTAAATAACTGCGTTTTCTTCCATACATAGGAGACATTGGGGTTGATTTACTAAAACTGGAGAATGGTTTCTATGCAGAGCTGCACCAGATTTTGCAATCAGCGTCCAGTTTGTTGTCAAAGTTTAATTGAACAAGCTGAAGTTGGAAGCTGATTGGCTACCATGCACGGCTGCATCAGATTTTGCACTCTCCAAATTTAGTAAATCAACCCCAATGTCTCCTATGTATGGAAGCAGATAATCTTGGTAAAGGCAGGTCTTTGTTTTCTCATGTTAGAGATGCTCTCTTGATTACTGGTAGTCTGAAAGAAAAATAATCAAACATTAGCAGGGGGGGTTTAGAAAGCAGGAAAATCCACAAAACAAACAAATTAGAAGTAGGAAGATTGCAGGTCCTCAGGTAAAGCTTCTTCTCTCTGCAGTGAGCAGCAGATTATTGACATCACCAAATTGCAGTCCAAACAGGCTAAGAATCAGAGGCACATTAAAAACAAAACACTGTGCTAAAGTTCAAATAAACCCAATTACGTAAAAAGAGACAATAGCACTCACCAACATGTAGAAACCAGTGTAGTGACTTAAAGCAGAGCTTTAAGCACTGCCGGATCTGAGTCCCTGGCGGCATAATGTGTTACTGATGGTATCCTTTGTTATGTTGGTCCCAGCTCTCTGCAGGTCATTCACTAGGTCCCCCGTGTGGTCCTGGGATTTTTGCTCACCGTTCTTGTGATCATTTTGACCCCACGGGGTGAGATCTTGCGTGGAGCCCCAGATCGAGGGAGATTATCAGTGGTCTTGTATATCTTCCATTTTCTAATTATTGCTCCCACAGTTGATTTGTTCACACCAAGCTGATTGCCTATTGCAGATTCAGTCTTCCCAGCCTGGTGCAGGTCTACAATTTTGTTTCTGGTGTCTTTTGACAGCTCTTTGGTCTTCACCATAGTGGAGTTTGGAGTGTGACTGTTTGAGGTTGTGGACAGGTGTCTTTTATACTGATAACAAGTTCAAACAGGTGCCATTGATTCAGGTAATGAGTGCAGGACAGAGTAACCTCTTAAAGAAGAAGGTACAGGTCTGTGAGAGCCAGAAATCTTGCTTGTTTGTAGGTGACCAAATACTTATTTTCCACCATAATTTGCAAATAAATTCTTTCCAAATCAGCCAATGTGATTGTTGGATTTTTTTTTCTCATTTTGTCTCTCATAGTTGAGGTCCACCTATGATGCCAATTACAGGCCTCTCATATTTTTAAGTGGGAGAACTTGCACAATTGGTGGCTGACTAAATACTTTTTTGCCCCACTGTATAGCAGTTGAACATGGGTGCACAATTTTGACTGCCAGAATATTTTTTTGAATATTTGATAATTAACATGCATCATTTGATATCCACAAATGCATGGTGATGTCATAAAAATGCTTTGCCTTAGTCTTCGCAAAAAGAAAACTATAGGGATCAGACAAAAACTTCAATCTGCTCAATTGTCTGTCCAAGAATTAGGTATTTGCTGTTTCAAAAAATTAGGTATTTGTTGTTTGGTAGTGGAAAGAGATTAGGTTAATAATCCCTTCATTTGATGCCTGTGGATAGTCTATATTTCTGTTCTACCGATTGATTTGATTACTGTCAGTTGTTTTCTCTCCCTTTTAACACAGGAAGGCAGTGACTGAAATCCATTTATCAGTTACAAATTAGAAGGCAAGATTCTTCAGTAAAGATTGCTGAAGACTTGACAGTGAATGTTTTTTTCTTAACTAAAGTAGGTTTCGAGTAAATTGATCAACTTGCAATGGTTGCTATTTTGTTGTATTGCCTAAATAGTTTAAACAGTGGAAAGGTATGAACAACAAAAATCTCCATTCTAAAAAAAATACTTTGTGGTAGGCAAAGTTATTTTACAAATTAGACAAAGCAGTTCAACTATAAATTGCAAAGAGAACCACAAAAAACTTCAGCAAAGTCATTAAGAAGGAGAGAGTGGTGCTACCACTCTAATGACAGGTGCTATACTATAGTAAATGATGAATATTGAAACAAAATGCTCTAGTAACCATATGCTATGGTGCATCAATACCAGGGGTGGACTGACAACTCATGGGGCCCCGGGCAATAGGGGATCATGGGGCCCCTGTGTCCTTGCCCAAACTCAAAAAAGCCTATGAAAAAGGTACCAGGGGCATCTCATGGGGCCCCCTACTGACCCCCGGGCCCTCGGGCAGTGCCCGAGTTTCCAAAAGATCAGTCCGCCCCTGATCAATACCAAATTGTGTGCTTATATATTAAACAATGAATAATAAATCATATGAAGCCAAAAAAGTAAAAACCATGTATAAATTCATAGACTAGTGTCTGTACTGCTGCTGACACTTCTTGTGCTCCCACAAGTGAACTAGAATATAAATAAACCTATGTGACAGTGCAGCATAGTGTAAAGTGCAAACATATACAAGTGCAACATAAGTCTCATACTTATCCAAAATAAAATGTGACCAAATAAAGTTCCAAATTTCCATATGAGATGAATTTTACACAATAGTTCTTATATTCGTGTAATAATGTCAATATGCAAAATATCAATTCCTTAGTGTGTTTATATATTCTTCACTTTTAACTTCTTATCACCACTTTGCGCTCTGGTGAGTGCGCATTCTTCTCATTTTTGACTGCAAAAGCACCAAGTTCTAGATGAACACAGGATCCCTGTTCACGTCAGTATTCACTTTTATGAACTTTTTATTGTTTTTTAATACAGTGATTTTATATACTTGTTTATAGCGCTGCACTTTATCACATTTTGTCTGTTCGAGGTTTTTATTGGTTACCTTTAGTGCTTAGCAGCTTTTAGTGCGCTCGCTATTATTTATTTATTCATGTGTTTCTCCCATCACCCTTTTTCATATGCTCTCACTTTAATGTTTTGACCCAACAATAGGTCTCATGCGCCTTCCCTTTATAGTGTGGGTCTCCTTTATCACAGTTACTCTCTCTCTCTCTTTTCCACTGATGATCTCTATTCACCGTCATCCTTCACAATCCCACAACATACATGTGAGATGCTCTCCAAAAGTAATAAAACAAATATTGCTCTTTGGATGGGTAACATTATTTTATAAAAAAATTAAAATATACTCAACTTATGGTGTACACTATAACTGCTGTACTTCAGTATGAATAACCTCCAACAAAATGGCTGCCTGCACACCTCCAGATTAGTGGTGTCACCGACTCCTCCCTGCGTGTTATGTCAACTAATCACATGACTTCATCTGGGATCCTGTTGGGTCAAAACATTAAGGTGAGAGGATATGGAATTAGGTGATGGGAGAAGCTCACGTGGTGATAAGAAGTTAAAAGTGAAGAATATATACTGATATTTTGCATATTGACATTATTACACAAATATACAATGTAATGAAATATTGTTTAAAATTCATCTCATATGGACATTTGGGACTTTATTTGATCATGTTTTATCATGGATATGTATGCGACATATATTACATTAGTATGTTTGTTAGGATAATGCACTTTATATGTTTGTTAGAATAATGCACTTTATGCTGCGTGACACTGTGACATAGGTTTATATATAAAGGAATTGCAAATGTTTTGTCCAGTCTACAAAAAATCATAAAATTCATGAATCCCAATAGCCTGGATGTCTGAACTGTATGGTCCTCTCCAGAATAGAATAGAAACCTGAAAATATACAGTAGACTGAGATCGTTGTAAATTGCTGTTCTCCTGATTCAGCAATCAGCGCTCAAATCTTTTGAGATCTTTTTTTCAATACAGTTGCTTGAACAGTTCAAAAACAAGGGCATCACACATAGCATTTGATTATTCTTATACAAAATGACTGTGCAACTTCCAAAAACTATGGATATATAAAGAGAAACTACAGAAAGAAAAAAATAAATATGTGCCTCACCATTCCTAAATGATACCAAGACAGTACACTAGGTATATGGGCAAAAGGCCTCTCTTACCTGTTACCAAAGCAGGGGGTATCAACCAAGTTTGTGGCATATAACACATCTCCCTCCGACCAAAAAAACTGTATCACCTATTTTTGCACTGATGGAATGATAGGTATGCATCAGCACTATGGGTATAGTTATAAAGCAGTGAATATGACTTTTACAAAAAAAAAACAATAAATTAATGAATTGTTCACTATATGTGAATACCAATTCATCAGAAAGATTAACCTTCTATGAATGTTTGGTGAATATCACTGCATAGGTAATATAATGTTCTGAGAAAGGAACCTGATTTTTCTTGGGGGAATTCACTGGAGCAATGAGTGGATAAGCAATAACATTGTTAATATTCACTGATCTGGGTCAGTTCTTGAGCCCATTTCCCTCATTGCTACATTAGAATGATGCACAAAACAAATAACTCTCTTACACAATAGTATTTTACACAAAGGTCTAATGCCTGGGATAAACAAAGTATTGTTTGAACTGTATATTTTACATTTTCATTCTGTAGAAGACCAGACTATACTACCATGAATGACCAACAGATAAATGTGTAACAAAGATATAATCAGAAGACAATATGGCATATACAGAGGCATCACTATTAATCAAGCCTTGAAATTTCCACTCGCCTGCTTGCCAATGACGAGTGGAAATTATTTTGGGGGCGAGTGTGTCCCCCAGGGATGTCTTGCTGAGCAGGCTCGGAGCTCAGGCTGGATCTGTCATTGGCACTGGGAGCCGTCAGACTGTTCAATAGCTGAGCACAGTGAAAGCAAAGGAAGGAGTGTGTGCTGTGCTCTCTGCCTCCCGCTAGAGTGCAGTACCCGACTCTGTGAGTGAACAACGAAGTACTGCAACTTTTTATATGTGTGTGTTTTGTGTGTGTGTTTTGTGTGTGTGTGTGTGTGTGTGTCTACCTAATTTCAGCTCACTCTGGTCACATGATCCTCTGTCAGCCAGTGGTGGCTTCAGGGGAGAGGAGAGAGCACTTACCAGTGTGCATGTGTGTGTACACGTGTGTGTGTGTCTGTGTATGCATGTACATGTGTGTATCTGTACATGTGTCTGCGTGTATGTACATTTATGTGTGTGTGTGTGTGTGCATGTACATGTGTGTGTTTGTGTGTATGCATGTACATGTGTCTGTGTATGTATGTACATGTGTGTGTATGTACATGTGCTTGTGCATGTGTATTTGTGTATGTACATGTATCTGTGTGTGTGTGTGTGTGTGTGTGTGTGTGTGTGTGTGTGTGTACATGTGTCTCTGTGCGTGTGTGTACATGTTTCTGTGTGTGTATGTACATGTCTGTGTGTGTTTGGTGGCGAGTAACTCTTAAGGCCTGGCTAAAAGCTCAGGACTTGAAATTTTAAGCCCTGCTATGAAATACTAATATCCTCTTTGTTAAATTAATTTAAAGTATTTTAATTGTACAAAAAGAATACATATTACTATACCAAGGAATCAGCTTGGCAACTAATAGTAAATAAGAATATACACTACCAGTCAAAAGTTTTAGAAGACCCCTTTTTTTATGTTATATTAAAATGTGCACAGTTTAACCATTTTCCCTCTAAAGGATTTACCCCCCAGGCCATTTTTTGTGATACAGCGCTGCGTTATTTTAACTGACAATTGCGCAGTCATGCAACATTGTACATAAAATTGATGTCCTTTTTTTTCCCACAAATAGAGCTATTTGGTCACCTGCGTGGTTTTTATTTTTGTGATATAAACAAAAAAAGACTGACAATTTTGAAAAAAAAAAAACATAATTTTGGCTTTTTGCTATAAAACATATACAGTAAAAAATTTTAAAAAGAAAATTTCTTCATAAATTTAGGCCAAAATGTATTCGGCTACATGTCTTTGCTAGAAAAAAATCCCAATACGTGCAAATTAATTGGTTTACATGAAAATTATACCATCTACAAATGGCAGTAGAAATACTGGAATTTGCATTATTCCATATTGGAATAGAAAGATTCCTCCCTAACTCGCGAAGCATCATCATTCATACTCTATATGCAGCCAAAAATGGCAAACTTTAGATGGGCCCGGACTTGTACTGGCTTAAGCAGGGGGACACGTCTGGCACTGCAGGATCTGAGTCCCTGGTGGCGTAGTGTGTTACTGATGGTAACCTTTGTTATGTTGGTCCCAGCTCTCTGCAGGTCATTCACTAGGTCCCCCGTGTGGTCCTGGGATTTTTGCTCACCGTTCTTGTGATCATTTTGACCCCACGGGGTGAGATCTTGCGTGGAGCCCCAGATCGAAGGAGATTATCAGTGGTCTTGTATGTCTTCCATTTTCTAATTATTGCTCCCACAGTTGATTTGTTCACACCAAGCTGATTGCCTATTCAGTCTTCCCAGCCTGGTGCAGGTCTACAATTTTGTTTCTGGTGTCCTTCAACAGCTATTTTGGTCTTCACCATAGTGGAGTTTGGAGTGTGACTGTTTGAGGTTGTGGACAGGTGTCTTTTATACTGATAACAAGTTCAAACAGGTGCCATTGATTCAGGTAATGAGTGCAGGACAGAGGAGCCTCTTAAAGAAGAAGGTACAGGTCTGTGAGAGCTAGAAATCTTGCTTGTTTGTAGGTGACCAACTACTTATTTTTCCACCATAATTTGCAAATAAATTATTTTTAAATCAGCCAATGTGATTTCTCTTGGTTTTTTTTCTCATTTTGTCTCTCATAGTTGAGGTCTACCTATGATGCCAATTACAGGCCTCTCTCATCTTTTTAAGTGGGAGAGCTTGCACAATTGGTGGCTGACTAAATACTTTTTTGCCCCACTGTATATGATTTTGCGCAACCCTGCCGCCCTGTAGCAGTACTTCTGGTATAGGGTGGTTGGAAGTGGTTAATGTCTCAATGTGCATGGAAAATAAATCATAGAACAAATGAACAGTTGGACATAAAAATAAATCTTGAAATCATTTAACAAAATGTAAAATACATTATTTGACTTATCAAAGTAGTCATTCTTTTGTATATGACAAGTGAACACACTTGTGGCATTCATTCTACAATGGAAATCAAATATTGCTTAGAAAGTTCTGGTGCAGAAGTTCAGCAAATGTGTTGCATTTCTATGTTGCTTTACTTTTACCCTTCTGTCCCCTGCTCATTAGGGTTTAAGTCTGGAAACTGTGCTGGCCATTCCATGATCTGAAGCCTATATCTTGTTCTTTCTTTCTAATGTAGTTCTGACACAACCTGAGTAAATGTTGTAGGTCATTATTTTGCTGTGGGATGAACCCCTGACCAACTAGGCCTAATGCATAGTGCTGCAAAACGCTGTGGTAGTAGTTTTGGAAGTAGTAATTTTGGTTGAGATTGTTACTCATTCTGTTCAACTCTTGATCCAGCAAAAGAGCCCAAGACCATCACTCTTCCTCTTGCATGTTTGACAGCTGGTGTCACACACCAAGGAACCATCGTTTCACCTACTTGACGGCATTCAAAAACCCTGCATGATGAACCAAAGACCTCAAATTTTGATTAATTAGTCCATAAGACCTTTTCCAGTCTTCAGTAGTCCACTAGTGGTGCTTCATGTCCCAGGCAATCCTCTTTTTCTTATTTTGCTATGTTAGCAATGGCCTTCTTACAGATGTAATGCCCTCTTATGTAGATACGTAGGTTTTTTTTTTTGTGCTTAGTTAGAGGATTGCTACAAGACTGGGTATGAGTCAGAGAGGTTACTTCAGGTGAAAGCTGGAGGGCTCTGTAGGTCAGTTCTCTGATACCTTCCCCTGCTCTAGAAACTTGGAGAAGCTTCTAGAAGCAGTGGGAGGGGGTGAGGAGGGGCTGATCTGCATACTTAGGGAAACCTGGCCAATCCCCAGGCAGGATACTTGGTTTGATAGCTAAGTCAACCATTAAGTGTGATAGAGCCTGAGCAGCAGGGGAGTCAGGTGGAAAATGGAGTGAGGAAGTGCTGATGGTGTGGAGCCTGAGAGGGGGCCCAATAGGAGGGGGGCCTTCCTACAGGCTGAAACTGGATAGAAGGACCTCCACTGCCCCACAGTCTACCTAGGAGAGATAGCCTGTCAGCAGTGAAGGAGCCAGCCCAGTGTAAGGCCTGAAAGCAGCTTCAACCAATAACCTACACTAACAGAACAGTTTGAGTAATTCTACACCCCCTGGGCCAAAGAAGAGAGAGGGCAGTCAGGTGCAATACCAAACCTCCCTGGGACAACTTAATTTGTATGTCTTGGAATCTTGCAAAGACTGTGTGCTGATTTTGTCCTTTTTTTCTCTAAGACGTTTGTCCTCCAAGTTATTCAGTTCTATTAGGCATCCCATACTGTATACCCCTAGACCCCATCCAAGTTGTTAGCTTCTAATAACACAACAAAAGCCAAGCTCATGGACTGTTTACTGACTTTAGATAAAAGTGTGGAAAATGCTTGTTGCCTGGCTGTGCACAGCTTAGGGGGACCCAAAAACTCAGCGACCCTCAAGAGGGTAGCACTACACAGCCACTTGACATTTCAAACCTGCAGCTTGAAGTCTTCTCTTCACAGTTGAAACTAAGACTTACTTTGATCAGTGTTAAGCTGTGCTTGAAGTTGTCTTGTGAGCCATCTGTCATGAAAGCTGTTTACTCTCAGAAGCTTGTCTTCTGACTCTGTTGGGGTTTTTGGTCTGCCAGACCTCCTCCTGTCAGAGCTTCATCCAGTTTCCAAGTGCCTTTTGATTACTTCTTCCCTAAAAAAAAAAAAAAGCATTTTATATATCTCTGAAATGTATATTATTTTTCTTTTTTTTAACCTAAACATTTTTTTTCACCTCTGGCAGCTTACCTTTGTGCCATTTCAGGTTATTCACTGCACTTCAACTGTTTAAATTTCAATTAAAAACTGAAAAATGAGGGTTATTCTAAAATGTATTCACTGGTATTATAATAATCACAAATGTGACTTGAATTGGGTTGAAAATTAATCTACCCAAATATTCAGCCTGACAATGTTCAGACATATCCAAAGGCTAGTTTATAACTGACCAGACACCTTTAATTTATACAAAAAATACCTTACAAGTATCAGGGGGAAAAAAGATTCATGTGATTCCTATAATCATGTGTAGATGCACAACTGAGTAGGTTAGATCGAAACATGAAAGAGAATCACTGTAAATCAATGCCCTTCTATGAAACCTGCATACACATACAATGAATATGTTCCAAAAAAGAGAACATGGCAAGAAAGAAAATGATTGCTTATATAGGTATAACAGAATAAAAGTATAGATTATATTCTGAGAAACAAATTCACACTGCTACCTCCCAAGTAATAGTGAGACTTTGGGTAAGATTGGTGTGTCATGTAAGCACATGTATGATTTTAAAACAAATCCATTCCAGTCCTAGTGAGATTCCTGGAAAAAGGGTCATGTATTAGAACCTTGTATTATAGTGCATTTATTTATACAGGCACAGAATGTAGCTGGACAGTATAAATAAATCCATTGCTAAGGGCAATTTATGAACATTCACCACTGTATTGGAAAACCCTTCAAAGTGTATGTTTAGCTGAAGTAGTATCAACTGGCATCAGGCACAAAGCTAAGATAATATGCAGCATTTGTGAAGTCCATTACTTAGGTTAGGCAATATATACAGTATTGCTCACTGCTGCACAGATGAGCCTCTTTTGATGTAGATAAACTAAAGATAAATAAATCAGCATGCAACAGTACACAATGATAAATGATAGATGCTTCAGTGTGTGGAATCAGTATTCATTTCTACTAGTCACATGTTCATGTAAGCAGATCATATAGAATACACAGATAAATCCAAGTGCAATACACTAACAAAATGTAAACCGGTATTGAACAAGTTGTAATTCAGAGCACCTCATGCAGAAATTCTGCTATTACAAGTAGCATGCAAACATCCCCAGCTGTGTCAAGGAACCATTCAAAGCATACTGCCAGTTGAAATGGTATCAAATACATGAAACAATCATAATCATAAAAAATTATTCATCTTCCAACAGTATGAAATAACCCTCACAGTGTGGTTACACCACTTGAAATATAGTGTAGTTAAAGATAGACTGAGGATTTAATTTGTTATATTTTAGATGTCCGGTCAGCTATAAACTAGCTTTTGAACACATCTGAATATCGCCAAACTGAATATTTGGGTGGATTTATTTATAACACGTCACATTTGTGTCTATATATGTATATATATATATATTTGTTTGCTGTTAGTTGCT